AAAGATTGAGCTTACTCAATCCATTTAAGTATTCTAGTTTCTCAAACTTTTATCTACAACCCTGGGCAACGTATGCTCATACGACAAAAAAGTCTATAAACCGGCAGTTGACTACTGACTTCAAACTACCATGACCCCACTGTATGTCATATTCGACCCCTTCCACAGTACTCATCTTACCTTTTTCTCTACCTCTTTTACATCTGTGAATTGCTCTTCTCTCCCCCACTCCTCGACTTTCTGCTACACTGATGAACCTTCCCTCTGTGAAGCCCGAAGTCAGCTAAATGGCAAATGATAGCTATCAAAACGCCTCCCTTTTGAAATAAATAAATCTACAACGATGATGAGAAATTCTGAACTCGGTTTCTTCAAGAATACATTCCTTAGAGTTCGAGAGGCGAAAGCCCAAATCATGAACTTGATTGCGTTTAGCAGGAAGTGCTTCAATAGTACTATTATCACTATTAGTAGTATTGTTAGTTCATTACTTTCTGCAGTGAGATGGATTGAAGGTTCAGTTCAACGGTGCCATCATGCAATTGAGCCAATTTTCCGCTTACTCAGTAGAAGCCAAAGGTGAAATGCCAATTAAATCTGTACTTCTTTCAACAATTTAAGAAGGAAAACCTCTTGAAACCCTGGCTGGCAGAGAGACACAGCAGTGGAAAAATTTTTTTTCTATCTACTCAAGGTTGATGGAGGGTCCATTCACTCGGTTTCTCAATCAAGGTTTCTAAAATTTGCCAGTATCTTACACAGTTCTATTTACAAACACCACCGCTTATATCATCATTACCTATTATAAGCGATATGACCGACAGAAATAATGAATAGAGTCTCACTCCTGCCTATTCTGAGAGCCAAACTGGCACGATTGAACGCTACAAACCTCATGAAGTGAACACTAACCTCCTGGAATAATTAATTCTGATCATTGTTGACCTGCCACCTTTTCACAAGCTACCGCACTCATCGGAAAATTCTAGACAGAGAAAATACAAATGCATCCTTGCATCAGAGCTTGACAAGAGACATCTAGTCAATTTGACATCCAATTATTCCCCAAAGTTAGCCTTCAACCGAATGATACAGTCGCAAGTAGATGAGGCCAAGAAGTTTACAGAATCACAAAAAGATTATTGATCTATCATCCGCACGCCTATGACTCACCCCTTTGGTCATTAAGGAGTTTATCGATTTTCAACGTCAAAAAATGGGCGCGTTGTGTATTTACGTAGATTTGTTTCAAGTTTGAATTTTTCTAATTTTTCCATCTACTTACCGCAAAATTTACAAACGTGTCGGCAAAATGTGGTGTTGATGTGTGGTCATTCACTGCGTGTTAAAATTAGCTACATTCACTAAGAAGAGTAAAATTTTGCGAAATAAGACCAGTCTTATGACTATATAAAATTCGTAGTTTATTCATGCCTCTTGTAATAGATTTGGTCAGATAGGGTTTGACAGGAGGGGAGGGGAACTGCATTGTCCGATGAACCAATGTACTAAAATACGGTTAATTTCATTATGCTGTGACTGACAATATTTCGACCTTCCATTCCACCCTAAGTTTGAATCTGCGCTAAGACACGTTCGATTAATTTAACTATATCAATACAAGCAATGGTTTCCAGATCGTTTTAATTCAACAGAAAAGGAGATCTTAACGGCCTGGCATAGTGACTTGTAATTGATCAATCTACTCTCTCAGAGTTCAGTTCCAATCGATTTTTTAGCTGAAACGATTGAATTTGGATTTACGAATGCCTTAATTTGAAAAAATTCTTATTAAGCTTAATGCTGATTAACTCCATTTCAGATAAAATAATAAGTAATTCAATTTTCGTACAAAGGGGCAGAAGTCAGAAAAGAACAGGACAGATGCCAAACTCAGCTCATAACCGATTCTTTTTGGCACGTTTTATGAATGCCCCCCCCCCCCTCTAAAATAGGATTAATTTTATGCGCCCGATCATAATTCGTCAACTGGGTGCGAGAAAAGTGCTATTTCGGGAATCAATTTCCTTAAATGAAACAAATTTGAGTAATGAATGTAATGTTTGAACTCACCGGAGAGAGAACGAAGGCGGGGAATTGAGAGGAGATGAGAGAAATGAAGGAGAATGTAGTGGATGGAGATTTGGGAGAAAACCCGGTCGTTGGTGCATCGCGACCAGATTGTGCAAGAACATAGGTTAGAAAATTTCCTCCAAAGCCGGTTTCCGAGTTTGGACAACTGCGCATGTTTTAAAGTATTTCATTAGTCTTTTCTTAAAATAGATTATGTGGTTTTGTAGAACAGCTCCTGTTGAGTCATTTACTTAGTTAATATAAAATTTTTAGTAAGAAGACCGAATAATTTGATATTGGGACAAGTTTCAAGTGTGACGATGAAACTGATGTCCGCTTTGGCGTGAGATTGTTCAGTTATGAAAATCTTAACGACCTTTTTAAAGATTGTTAGAATCTCCATATCCAAATGTAGACAGCTTAACAATGTCTGATTCCCTTCTTATCAACATTATTGATTATTTATTAAAAAATTAATTTTAATCGCAAATGGTCAAACATTTGTGGGTGAATTACCTTACCATTCAAATAAATTTACCAAACTATTCAATGAATACTGAATAAAGTAGACTTAAAGCGATAAATCAGTTAGCAATTTAAATTAAATGAAAAGTGAACGGTTTGAATCCACTTCTAAATTTTGCTAGACATAAACTAAGCGGATTAAATTCGTGATTTCTCTCATTTTAAAACGGTTCCCTCATGAGTAAAAATTGTGTTAATACTCGCCGTGATATGTAAAAATAAAAATTAAATTAAATGGGATGGGGTAATTAAATTTCGCTTGAAGTACTTCTTTTTGTAATTAAAATTTTGCACATTTCTTGAACGGAATTAAATGATCGATAATAAATTTCTCATTGGATATGTAAATGGGAGAGAATCAATAATTAAGATGATTTTAATAATAATATAGATGTGACTTTTCTGCCTGCAAAAGAAGGACACAATTTCGTAAATGAATAAGTAATCAATTTTCCAATTTAAACTTTCGAATAGATGAAACAAAGAAGCGCTTGCCCGCTAGAACATTCAGGAAAATTGTAGAAGTGGTGAAGTGAGGGGAGCGAAGAGACCTTTCGGCCAATCAATAACTAGTAGTCATTACAATGTTATTGTACTCAAACAGCATATAATGGTTTTGCTCCATATGATCACAACCCAACACACGAATTTCACGTCATAAGTTCATTTCCCCTGATATCGCGTCGCGCTGGATTGGCTAATCCGGGGAGCCATTTCAAACTAGGAGAATTTGCATTAGAGATTACTGGGCATAACTCAGGCTTCACTCGTGTTGCAATCCACTGCAAACGGCGCAAAAAATTATTACTTGAACTTTTAATTTAATGACAATCCTCTTCCTTTAATATAATTTATGAGCTAAGTCGTCAAGCTGTTCCAATTTTAGTACACAGCGAGGAGAAACTACTATGTTCCTTCACATCATCTCTAGGAGTTACACAAATCTCCCATTTATTGGTCCATTACTTTTATTTATGAACAAGCATGTTCCTCCCCTCCCCTCTTAACTAAATTAGATAACCTAGAATTCCTAGAAAAATATTTGTTAGTGCTTATGACAGTACTTAATTACTAATCGCCAGAAATTTACTCTGTATATATTAGCACGATTCATTGTGAGAAAGGAGATCACCAATAATCAATAATCAATAGCTTAATGAAATGGCATCAATGTTTATGAGGTGAATTGACAACTCGGTCCACTGATAATGTTGCAGTATGATTGAAAAGTGAAATCCTACAGCAGAATTTCTACGAAACCTTCTTAGAGGCATAACATTAATTGATGTATTTTATTTAGATCTTTAACTAGATGAGTGGTAAAATTACTGGTATATTAGGAAAACTATGAATTTCGGCAAGATCTCAGTGCTATTAGTTTTCTAGCTCCACAGGGTGGGCTAATGACTACCCACGTTTGTAAATCATTCTCAAATCTTTCAAATTATTGTCCCAATGACCCCTCATGAGCCAAGTTAGATTTTAAGACAAGCACTCTCATTACTCGGAAATGACGGCTTTTAATAATGTTAGGGAGGTTTAATGAAATGAAAGTATTATCAACAACATGTCAACCAGAAGCACACCACTGCAACCTTTGCTGTCAGAAGAAAAAGCACAGGATCGTCCATTTAACTTGTTCAAATTGCCTAGTAATTCCTGAGAAAACGCAAGTAAAACGTTACAGTTGCCGAAATCGGAAGTTTTATAACGTGGAGCAGTAGGCTCAACTTGAACAACTTGAGTGGAAAACAAATCAAATGTGAAGTGACACCTGGGATAGCCAGAAGTTAGTCTCTTTATTTAATACCTGCACCTTATTCAACAAACTTTCGATTTCTCATTTATAAATATTACCCTCTCCCTTCTCCCGATTACCAATTTTGAGAGAGAATTCTACTTCCTTCTGGAAGTAATTGAGACCAGTAGAAACGACACACGCCTTCCACCTCTAATTCATCTATAATTCCTCCCCTTACATGACAGTTTTTTGACAAGTTCTAAAATGCTGCTGCATGCATGACTTACCCGCGATCAATGATGTCGGCATATCCTAGGTCGCCTGAACTCGCGTGGCAAGATTCTACCGCAAACGTTGTGTAAGTTGCTGCAGAGGCGGAAAACATTTATTAGCTACAAGGCCCTGAAAGTATCTCGCACAGTTGGATGCGAGGAATTAGACATGCAACATTGTCAACCTTGGCAAACAATTGTATTGCCCAATCTAAATCACCAAGTCTGAAAACATGACGAGGAGGCATCTTTCTTGTGACTTACTAAAAAATACTGCACTTGGAAAATCGATCTCAAAAGTGCATTATGCTGAAAGTACAATGCCATGCCAAGATTTGCTAACGATTAAAGCCAATCTTCGCCAATGCCTCAATTATTACCATGGTTAAAACTAATTCGGTTAAAGGAAAGGCTAAATTATTAGTCAATCATGAAAATGGAAAAGTTGCGGTATTATTAAAGACCGCAATTTAAAAAATTGTACCTGAAATGATACCGGCCTTGTTCAGAAAGTCAAAATAGCAAACAGTGTTTGACTACCATCTGACAGATGAGATCAAGAACCCACGCATGAGATGAATTATCTACCTCCGGAAAAAACTATGCTCTGTGGCCTTGAACCGTGTTTGTCGGTTTCCTCTGAAGTTTCAAGTTAACGAAACAGAATTTCCTTCAACCGTTTCTGCATGCCGTATACGCTTGCTTGTAGAGTAGATTTAAAGGGAGTGAAGTTGATCATTTTCATGTATGATTTTCTAGCTCAATGATTTCCGTTCTAAAAATATACTAATCAGATAAAAAGTCACCTATCGACTGTCATCAGCTCTGAATACTGCAACAAATCGTCATATTGAGTATTTGTCTATGAATACATTCTAATAATTGATACTTGTTTCAACTATTTAACAGCGTATTAATAAAAGTGGCCACAATTTCGCTACAAATATACTAATGGTGAGGGAGTGGAATTATTCACTACTGTAGAATTGTGTAAAATAAGGTCTGAATCCTTACATGTGGGATCGAATAGAGTAGCTTTCAATTGTATTGGCGTCGCTAGCAGTGTCTTGGAGACGAGTCGCTTAGTTAAGGAAACCGTCTTGAGTGAGAGATCAAACGCGGCTGGAGTTGGTCTAACATTATCCAAATTCCACTGATCAGACAGCCGTTGAGACCTGGATAGTTAAATATTAAATTAAATGATAAGAAGTAGATGATATGACGCTAAGTTACCTTACTTTAAAATGAAAACATTTGGGCAACAATGTTAGTGAGTATAGCCACAGTTAATACCAGTAACCGATGTATGACAATGATAAGATATACCTGAATGTACGCTGATTTCTTCTCAATGTATTTCAAAAGACAGCTTATCCTATTACACTGAGATATTGACCTTCAAAGCAGCCTATTTTTAAGATCCCAATAAATCATGTCTGAGAAGTGATCAACCCCAACCTACGCCGTTATTCAGACGTATATCCCCTCCCAAAGGGTGTGCGACAGACTTACCTCCACGTGGTGCAGCCTGGGCAACGTATACTCATATGGCAAAAAAATCTATAAACCGGCAGTTCACTTCTGACTTCAAACTACCACCCCCCACTGTACTCATCTTACCCTTTTTGAGCCTTTTGTCTGTCTGTTTCTTTTACACCTGTGGATCACTCTTTTGTCCCCCCCCTCCCGAATATTTCCCATTTTGATGTTCCTCCGCCCCTCTGTGAAACCCGAAGTCAACTAAAGGGCTAATGATAATTATCAAAACGCCTGCCATTTGTTATAAATATATTCCCTCCCACGGAATGGACATAAAACAATAGCCACGAATCATGATAAAATGCGTATTCACTGTTTTTCTCATTAAATCTACAGGTGCAAGTGATTTCAGGTGTGTATAGGAAGGAGGTGGTTGTCACACAAGCACACACAGAGTTGAGTTGACAGGAAACACCTAATCACTGGTGACAGTTGCGTTGCAAACTATTGTTCATTCGCGCGTCTATTTGCGCCCGAGAGGGAGAGAGAGAGAGAGATAGAGAGAGAAAATAAACGAAAAGATAGATAATAACTGCGCATGTTATTGTCCATCACCTCTTTCGCTCGCCTTAACTAACTAATTTTGACAGTTTGTGTTTGGCAGAGGAAACGAGGATGAATGGACGATGTATGATACAAAATAGAATTCAGGATGATTTAAAGTTGATTTGTAATCAAACGCAATAAACGAAAAGGCCTCAAGTATGAGAGCAAATGGCTCAAGATTGATTGGAGTGGCTGGGAATAAATTTTGATGAATCGTGAATTATTTCGACACAAAGACCTCCTTAATTCTAACTCCACAAGATCATGCCAGGTCACTGCTGTACCTTGAAGTTCAAAGCCTGGCAGATATAGCGGACAGGCGGTGAAAGACACTACCAGTGCATGGAAAGTGAGTTGATGTCCATTCTGCTAAAATTATGACCACAAGCAACATGATTGAGCGAAGAGCACTTTAAGGGATTATAAGCGATTAGTCAGGTATAAAAGAGTAAATCATTTGAGTTTTAAAGTAAAACAATTAAAACCCGGTAGAATAATTAATGAGAAGTTTTTTTGCATTTCTAGTTGGCTTCATAGCTAAAAGTAGCGAGCGACTTTCCAAAGCATTGGGATAATTTATCGATAAATTATTGTGATTCAGTTATAGCTTAATTGACGATCATTCTAATGATTAATTTTAAATAACACCCAACTGCTTGACCACTTCAGGAAAGCAAAAACACCTCCAGAACAAATGCGCTCATCAGTCCTCGAGAAGATCAATGTCAACTATCCTGCAGAACAATGGCTCTAAGTCTTCACTGATGGGTCATACGTAGAAAACCAAGCAAACATTGGTGCAGGTGTCTAATCTGAACTCTTCTCTTTCTACGCAACAGCGGGACACAATAGATCCGCTTTCTAAGGAGAAATAAAGGTCATTAAGATAGCACTAGACAAATTAGGTTGCCTGGGTACGATATTCACCAAAGCAGAAATCCTTTCGGACAGCAATCCTTTCAGCAATAAACTCAATTGGAAACAATGAGCCACCCAAAACAAATGTAAAAAACTCCATCAACTGCTGAGAGAGAAAAACAAGGCAGTGGTCCTACAATGGATCCCTTGTCACTGTGGCATAAAGGCGATGAGATTGCTGACACACTTGCTTAGAAGGGGACAACGATTTTGCAATGCATGGACCGGCCGATGTCTTTCCACACAATGAAGGCCTTAATCAGGAGAGAATTCCAGACCTCATGGTGCAGCGAAATTAAAGCTCGAACAAAGGAGAAACAGCGGAGGGTGACACTCTCCGACATACCCGACTGGCCAAGAATCGAAGCCGTTGGTGATTTCAGAATACGTACCGGACACGATTACCTGGCAAAACACCTTCACAGATTAGGAGTATACACTCAACTCTCATGCCCTCTATGTAACCAACAGGAGGCAATGGAGAAGACCCACCTGATTCGGTGTCCAACCCTAAAGACAATGACGGAACCCCAGAAATACTGGGAAGCCAGAGCACAATTAATGAACTGCTATTTATTAACTGCTTTATATACTCCTTCCCTCCTCCCTAGTGAAACCCGAAGTCAACTAAAAGGATAATGATAAATTTCATAAAGCCTGCCCTTTGAAATAGCAATAATTTTAACTAAATGTACAATAAACCATAAGAATTCCTTAGTCTTTTGAAAATGGACTCGATACATTAGAGTTTAGTGAAGGATTGAGGGCGATGATCATCAATCTCGTGAACACTGATTGGCTAGTCGTGTGTGTTGCCAACTACGCCATTGGTACAAATTAACCAATAAAATTCATTAAAACCTATTAATAAATGGATAACTAAATTTGACTTTTCGTTTATACCTTCAACCAAACTGGTTTTGGAAAAAAAACTAGTATCACCATGATGCAACAGCTTTCCAACGCAAATAATCACCTATTTATGGCAACTTTAAATCTATCGATCCATTTGCTCGAATATAACAAGGCACCAATGATATTTAAGCAAGAGAGAGAGCAGTAATTTTGATTGTTTTTTTTTCAAAATGTAGAAATTTTATCCTACGGAATTAATTGTATATCTTCCAAGAAGGAAGATTTTATTGTTGTCTAAAGATTTTAATTGGCAGATAATAAATGACACTTCTAAAGGTGTATCAGATTCAATAACGTAATGGATAAAAATGTTTGTAAATTGGTTAATATTACCTCGTGTCTCTATTTTCTCTCTAAACGATGTTTGAAGAGTTGGCTATTTAGTTTAAAAAGCTTTCAGGAGTTTCGTTTCATGCCAGGTAAGTCTGCATGTTTTCGCTTACCACTGAGCCATAAAAAAAATCCGTGAAACTACCACCGACACCGTGTTTTGTTTCAAGTGCTCGACTGCTTTCAATCCTCGAAAACCCGGATGACTCAGTCGCTAATAAAAATCTTGCAAGAGAGGGCATTGACGTTGATGGGGTGGAAGAGCGAGAGAGAGATGATTTTGTGTTTAAGAAATGCCGAGTAGAAATGGATTTTGACAATATTTGTTGCAAATTGAAATAGACAATAAGATGAAGTACGTAAATGCTATCTATCGTTTTTAGTTCATTAATTTTTCGTAATAATCAATTTTACGATCAACTAAAGTGAGACTAAGGCAATATTATCGGGGGGTGGGGCACATTACCGAAGCACAGGATCAAATCCACGTAAAGCTTATGCAATTTTGCCAAAAAGGTGAAGACTTTTGGATTGCGCGGGTTTAATAATGGGTATCTACTTATAATAAAGGGTCCATCCGACTTTCCCACCCGAGATGACCGATTCAGTAAAATTAAAGCACTTGTGACTGCAAGTAACACCCCGTCTTTCTAAGAATATCTAAAATAGTGATAGAGTCAAGTACAATTCCAATTTACGTTACGCAGCATTTCTGGCAAGGCGATTAAGATTAGGACTAACGTGATCATTACCTGTCGGTTTGACCTTGTCACTTCTAAATGAAGTGTCAGGTATGGATAGTGCAAATATCAACTTTAAGGCTCAATTTAATTATTCTATAAACTCAAGAACGTGCCAAGGGTGTAAGAACTTAGTGTTGTCAAAAGAAATCAAAATTAATTTTAGGTATGTTGCCCTAGATTCAGTACCCACATCTAGTTCTCTATTCCGATCTTGTCCCTTCTTACCTGTCTGAGTTTGAATCTCGGACATCACAACCGTTTCCATCTCAACGTCTCTTTCCTCTTTTATTTTAAAATAAATCTTTCCCGCCGAAGTCTTGGCTTCGCTCCAACTCATTGTGTATTTAAAATTGTGATAACTAAGGTAGGTGCTAAATCATATAGATGTCATATAGTCAGGATTTATGCCTCATATATCGATTTCCCTACTTCCAAACACATCTTTTTTCGAGCACGTATACTTTTCAGTCCGGTTCACTTGGATGATTACCAGTGCCAACTCTAACAATGCTGAGATTTTATTCATTTCATGGCACGCAATGGTGTGTTTATTCATTCTATATACCTCAAATCTGCAGGTGTCTATTCTGAACTATTCACTTTCTACGCAGCAGCGGGACACAAAAGATCCGCTTTCGAAGGAGAAATAGAGACCATTAGAATAGCACTAAGTCAAATATGTTTCCTAGATACGAAATTCACCAAAGCTGTAATACTTTTGGACTCATAGTCAGCAATAAACTCAATTGCAATCAGAGAGCCACCCAAAACACCCGAGATATACAAATGTAAAAAAATCTATCAGATGCTGAGAGAGAAAAACAAAACAGTGGTCCTACAATGGATCCCTTGTCACTGTGGCATAAAGGCGATGAGATTGCTGACACACTTGCTTGGAAGGGGACAACGATTTTGCCATGCATGGACCGGCCGATGTCTTTTCACACAATGAAGGCCTTAATCAGGAGGGAAGTCATGACCTCAAGGTGCAACGAACTTAAAGCTCGAACAAAGGAGAAACAGTGGACAGTGGCACTCTCCGACATACCCGACTGGCCAAGAATCGAAGCCGTTGCTGAGTTTAGAATACGTACCGGACACGATTGCATGGGGAAGCACCTTTACAGATTGGGAGTATACACTCAACCAACATGCCCTCTATGTAACCTACAGGAGGCAATGGAGAAGACCCACCTGATTCGGTGTCCAACCCTAAAGACAACGACGGAAAGCCAGAGATACTGGGAAGCCAGAAGACAACTGATGAGCTGCTATTAATTAACTGCTAGATATGTACCCCCCACCCGTGGGGGAGGCCGAAGTTAAGGTTTAAGGGATAATGATAAATAACATAAATCCTGCCATTTGAAATAATAATAATAATACCTCAAATCTGGTG